ATACTTGTGTGGACGGGGAACTAGAAACAGTTGGGTGTTGCTAAAGGTGTAAGCAGGAAGGGGCAGGAGATGACAGATGAGGCCAAGCCATGAGGGCCCTTCCAGATTAAGATTCACCCTAAAGGTGAGGAAGAGCCACCAGAGGGTCTTAGACAGGAATATGTGATGGTCAGATTTGTGTTTTAGATACACATAGAGGAAGGATTTAGCAAAGTATCTGTTAGGATTGGGTACTGCTGTGTGGAACAGTGCTTAAGCCAACAGGGTTTGTTTTCTAAGTCTGGAGGTAGGCAGTTCCTCACTGGCTAAGACACTCACATCCGTGTTGTCTTTTTGCTTTGCTATCCTTGTGTCGTCACTGTTGTCACCTCATGGCCAGAAGATGGCCGTCTGAGCTCAAAACAACACATCTGTGTTTAAGGACGCAAGAATAGGGAAAGATGCTACTCTTCCCTTTAATCACCAGTGTAAAAGCCCTCCCAGGGACCACCACTTTGAGCAAACTACTGGTGGTCATGTTAGGACTGTACTAGCTGGCCACCTCTAGCTGTAAGAGAAACTGGGAAATCAGTGACCTTCTTACTTATGTAGTAGATTTGGGCAAGGGAGGAGGTTGGGAATAAGTGGTAGTTATTAGGTATGGTACGTAGCTAACCTGTAGTTTCTGCCACAAAAGCTAGCAGGTGGGAAATAATGAGGACCCCAAACAGGGCAATGGTAATAGAGAGGGAATGGATACTGTTGCCATTAACTGAAATTGAAAACTCAGAAATTCTGAGTAGTGGATCTCATTCTCTTAGATGTTGGTCTGAAGTATCATCCCAAGAGGATATTCAGCAGGGAGTTGGATATAAATGAAAAACTCAAGTGAAGACTTAGGGCTTGGGATATATTTGGAGGTCATTCAAATGTAGGGCATCCCACCCACATTGTAATGACCTTCAAATATACCCCAAGCACTAGGAATTTCTAAGTAGTGAATGGTTTTTCATAGGCCTAACATAATTTTCAATCAATCCTGAGTCTGTGGAGATGTGCGAATTTGCACTCTATTTTCTCTACCTGCTAAAACGCCCAGCCTGGAATTTAATGGAGAGTAAAGTCATGTAGAGAATCACTGTGTGCAACAAGAACCAGAACATTTTCTGCCAAGGCCACCTCCAATACAAACATGTACACACACCAGTCCGTGCTATACATAGAACTTGGCCTTGAATACTAAAATCTATTTGCCATACCATGGAACAAATGTGTTTTCATTCTCTTGATTAAAATAACAGGAAATGTCATCATTCTTGAGGTCATGGTATTTATAACAGAAATATAACCACAAGTGTATATATATATAAAACTTTGGAGACTCTTGCCGAGGTCTATTGGCAAGGCATCTGGTACCATCCCTGGCTTGGGATAAAAACTCCTGCACTTGAGAATCTTACCTCTCAAGCAATTACTCTGAAGATCCAATCCAAGAGGACTAAAAATGTCTAGAGAAGAAGTCCTCTATAACTTCCAGCCTGGAAGGGCCTCTACCTCTTTAGCTAGTCTGGCAGGTCATGGAAATTCTACTCTGGAGCTGGGGATACAAGAGAAATATTTTTTTCAGTATTTACTTTGACCAGTGAAATAGCTATGACAGATTTTTTTCTTTTCACCAAGACCCGAAGTGACATTTTAAAGGAGAAGCCACTATTTGGGTACCATAGAGTCTTTTAAAAACAATATTAGAATAAGAGCTCAACGGAGTGTCTGCTCAAGCACTGCTGTCCAAAGCTTCATATTCCAAAAAGAATTCGGCCACTTTAATGCAGACAGGAGTCAGGACTGCTTATTTCAGCCTCTTCCCTGTTGGATCTACTTCTTCCTATTCAGATAATATCAGATCCAAACCTAGTGACAGCCTCTCAGTTCAAGGGCATTTTTTGCCCGTTTTGCTGTTAAATGCATGCTGAATTGCAGCATTGCTCCTTTTTTCCCCATATTTATGCTTTGTTTTTGCAACTGCTTATGAGATCTGTAAGGTCAAGGGTCACATCTTGAGCTCTGTTATTTCTTGCAGAGTTGTGTTTGTCGTGGTAAACTCCCAGGAAATAGTTGCTGAATGGACGAATGAATGGAAGAATGACAAAAACTGGAGAGCAGTGGTAGGTGAGTCGCTAGGCAGCCTGGTAAAGAGGATTACAAAACTCAGGTCAGATTAGCAGGAAAGGTGGTGTAGGGACAAGAATGTTTCATTTGAGCTGCAGACATGGATCCTAGGCCTAGGTTGCCTTGCTTGGCTTCACTCATTCAACAAATATTTCTTTAAGGGTCTTCCAACGAGCGAGGCTGGAGTTGTAGCAGGCTCTGAATGAGATCAAGTCCCCTCCCTCCGAGTGTTGTAGTGGTAGGGAGGGGGCTATGAGGAGACCAGGGATGGCAGGAGATACGATAATGACAAGCGCTGGGCACATGGAGCAGAGAAGGGGCTTCTATGTTAGACTGGTTTCCAGGAAAGCTTCCTGAAGAGAAGGGTTTTGATTCAGATCTTGAATAAGCTTTTGGCTAGATGAGATTGATTGGAAAAAACATTATAGGTAGAGGGACTAGCATGTGGGGATGTTCCAAACCATATAATAGGAGGTTGCATTTGAGAACTAAAGTCTCAGCTGAAAGGCCAGTGGTGGCCAGAGCTGAAGTTAAAGAGGTAGTCTTGAGCTGCCTTGCAGAGGGCCTTGTGACAATGTGATTTAGAGCTAAAGAGCAGAGGTTTAGAAATCAGACAGAATTGAGTTCAAGTCACAGCTCTTATACTTACCAGCCATGTAGCAGTAACTGTTCTTTTTTTTTTTTACCCAGAAATCAAGTCTTGATTTCTTTAGCACAGTGTCTGTCTAGCTCTATCACTTATCTGTTGCTGCATTACAAATTATCCCAAACCATAACAGCTTAAAACAACACGGCTTTATTAAATTCTCAAGTACCTGTGGGTCCGGAATCTGAGCCCTGCTTAGTGAGAGTCCTCTGCTTCAGGTTCTCTCACAAGGCTGCATTCAGAGCGTCAGCCAGAGCTAATGCGCCATCTCAAGACATGACTGGGGAAGGATCCACTTCCAAGCTCACTTACATGATTGTTGGCAGTGCCTTACGGATGTTGGCCATAGCCTGCCCTCAGTTCCTTGCTATGTGGGCCTTTCCAGCATAATGGCTTTCTTCATCAAAGCCAGGGAGAGAGAGTCTGCTAGCAAGACAGATTTAGCCTAATCATTGAAATGATTTCTTATCCCTATTGCCACATTCTTTGGTTCAGAAGTTACTAGGCCAGCCTACTACTGCAGGGGAAGAGATTATGCAAGGGAGTGAACATCAGACACTGGGGATCATTGGGGGCCATCGTAGGGTCTGCCTGACCCACTAACTTATGGCTTATCACCACTAAATAAATGTTAACTATTATTCTTCTCAGTTGAGAGATTTGCAAAAGCTACAGAAAGCCAGTGAAGGATTTCATATCAAGGAGTAACTTTAGGTGACCTTGGGCAAGTCAAGTCACCTCATGTCTTTGAGCTTCTAATTCCTCCTCAGTACAATGAAAATATCTGTCTCCAAAAGAAAGAACATGTATGCAAACACAAATACATTTTTGTAACACCAAATATACAAAATCTCCACAGTCTGAGGAAGCAAACTGCTTTGGGGCAATTTTCCATTTTGTGTTGATTCTGTGAGTCTCACAGTCTGATCTTTTCAAAGTTTTCAGGGCTTGTCCCTGTGGGCCGGTAAGGATTTGTATAACTGGAATAAACACCCACAAAAAGAAATCTGTTTTTTGAGCATCCCTTAAGGCATTTCCAAAGGTTTGCTTTTCCCTTCTTTTTAAATACCTTTGCTTCCAAGGACCCCCATGGGGGTCCCGAGAGAGAAAACAGTCTATCTGGGAAATATCAAGCTCTTGATAGTAAAATTGGTAATAAAATCTCGTCGGGCTTCTGGAGCTTCGCAGCGGGGATGTTTATGGTAGATGGGGTTCCCGAACACCCTCGCAGCTGGTTTGGAGGTTGTGCAATTTCCAGTCCCGCGGAGAGCTCGGGTTACCACCTCCGTGGACGCTGTCAAGGGCAGCTTCCATGCCCGCGAGGAGCGGGCGAGAGACCCGGGGTCCCTCCACCGTGGCGCCTGACCCATTTCTGCTTGGTGTCCAAACTGGATGCCTCATTCCATGCCCCAAACAGAGCTGATCACACACCGTCGCGTTTCATGGCCTCCCCGGGTGCGGTTTTCCCCGGGGAAGGTAAACAACGCTCTTGACCCGAACTGGCAGGCATTTCGGCCCGGTGGCCCAGTCCTCCCGTGCGGTCCAGCTCTCCAGGGAGGCGGCCTTCGGGAGGGGGACGGAATTTAGGAGTCAGCCCCCCGGCTTCATACAAAGGCGCGCTTCTCCGCAGCGTCTCTGGGTGGAGCGATGAGGCCGAGGAAGCTGTGGCTGCGACACAGCAAAAGTGCCTTTTGCTTCTTGGCCCGAGAGCCAGACCTCGAGGGCGAGGGGCGCCCGGCACCCCAGGGCAGGGCACATCCTCGCCTTGCCAGCCTGGCGGGGCACTTCGCGCCAGCCAGCAGCTTCACAAGCTGCCGCGGGTCCCCCTTGGCGCTGAGGTCATCTCCTGCAGCGCTGCTGCCTTCGGACCATGCGGGCCATTTGGTCCCGGAGGCAGGAGTCGCCGGCACCCCTGGGCAGCCCCGAGAGGAGGGTGAGGGTGACCCCGCGAGCTCTCGGGGAGCGGAGGCGGAGGAGAAGTGGTTCCGACCACCCCTGGCCGGGATGTTTCACCCCGCCAGCCCCGCCGGTCCGGTGACCACTGCCTTAGAAAACTTAAACGAGAACCAGATGTGGTGGCCGCTGTCGAACTTTCTCAGAACTGGCGATTGGTCCCGGGGCCAGGGCCGCAGCCAATCATCGCTCTGGGAGGGCCCGGAGTCCCGCCCCGCCCGGGACCCCTCCGGGATCCAGGTTGGAGGCCAGCGCGGCGGGGCTAGTGCGCTGGCTGGCGGGGCAGGGACGCGCTCTGCCGCGGGACAGCCCAGGGCCGAGAGAGCATGCGGGGGGACCGGGCGGACGGGCGGCCCGCGCTGCCGCCGCCGCCGCCGATGCTGCTGCTGCTGCTGCTGCTGCTGTCCCGGGCCGCGGCGCTGCACCCGGGCGAGCTATTCCCCTACGGGCAGTCGCGAGGGGACCAGCTCCTGCAGGAAGGCGACGACGAAAGCTCGGCTGCCGTGAAGCTGGCGCTTCCCCTGCGCTTCTATGAAGCCCAATTCAGCGAACTCTACGTAAGTTTAGCTTCTTCCTGGTGCGGGATTCTGCAGATTTCTTGCAGCTTCTGAACAGGCGTCAGTGTAGTGCGGCTCTCAGCAAACCCCTGCCTTTCGAAGGGAGGAAATAGTCCGCACAGTCGGCTGTCCCCGAGCGCCCTCGGGGTGGGACCTGGCTTTGCAGCGATGCTGTTGTCGGACCCACTGCTTTTCCCTGCTTCAGGGGGGCGGGGGGAGGGGGTAAGAATTGTTCGCAGCCGCATAAGAGTCACAGGCAGAAAAGAAGGTGGGATTGCTAAGCCGGCCAGTGGGGTTTCCAGTTAGGACAGCGAGGAGGCTGTGCACTTCTGCAGAGTTGGGTGTTCCCTCCTCCGACCCGTAGCTTTTTTCCAGGGTTGTGCGGGAAATGAGAAGATAACGTGAACGAGTTTTAGGGCTCCTGGACCTATTGCACCGCGCTTGTGGGGTAGGGGTGACGGGTGGGACGCCGGTTGAAGTTGCGCTGGTCGCCCTGAACCAGGAATCGGGCTCCCAGCCGATGGGGAAGGGGGAGCTTCATGCCCGGGGCGGTTCCCTTCCCTCTTTACGGAGCCAGGGTGGGCGCTCGCGTCCGGACCTGTGGTGGCCCTCCTTGGGCTTCCTGCAACGTACGCGACCGTCACATTTTTGTCCCGCTCGTCCCCCAGGTGGTCACCAACGGCATCATCTCCACCCAGGACTTCCCCAGGGAGACCCAGTATGTGGACGATGATTTCCCCACAGACTTCCCGGCCATCGCCCCTTTCCTGGCCGACATCGACACGAGTCACGGCAGGGGCCGGGTCCTTTACCGCGAGGACACCTCCCCGGCGGTGCTGGGCCTGGCCGCCCGCTACGTGCGCGCAGGCTTCCCGCGCTCCGGCGCGCACTTCGCCCCCACCCACGCCTTCCTGGCTACCTGGGAGCAGGTGGGCGCCTACGAGGAGGCCACGCGCTGGGCCCCGCCCTCGGGAGAGGTAAGCGACTAGGGATGCTTGCTTGGCCTCTGTGCCAGCCGAGGAAATGGGCTTGGATTCTGGGCTGGAACCCAGGGACTGGCTTGAAATTTTTCCGGAGTCTGCTCTCCCGCTAAATTTGATGTATAGTTTGGCGGCACCAGGGCTGAAGTGGCTCGGAAGTGAAGAAGGCTGTTTTCTCCAAGCTTTCTCTGAGGGTCTGAGAGGTCACTCTTGCAAGGAGAACTGCTTAAGGGATGTGAGTGCCCCAGTGCAGATGCAGAAGGGGTTTATGGTTTGATTGTTTTTAGAATCACCTCATATATCCAAGAATTATTTCTAATTATATGTTCATTGAAGGGAAAACATCAGGAAATGCTGGCAATTTTTAAAAGAACAACCATTCATTTTCCTGCCACTCAAAGATAACCACTGTTAAACAGTTTCGTGTGCATCTGCCAGAGCTTTTTCCTATCCATATCTGTATCTATCACTGTCTATTAATGATGAGTTCACATTGCACATACGGCTTTGTAACTTTTTTTCACTAATTAGTAAATTGCGAATATGTTTAGCTGTCAATAAATATACTTCTACAACATCACTGTTAATGTTTGCATATATTCCATCCAGTGGATTTCTCATTGTGCCCAGTGGTCAGCAAGGTTATTTCCAATTTTTCATCATTATAAATTTGTGAAGCACTTTTTCTTTCTTAAGCTAAATCTTTGTACCATGTCACTAGTTGACATTCCAGGAAGCAGAATTGGTGGGCCAGAGTGATGCATTTTTTATAAGGTTTTAATAGCCTTTGCCAAATTGCCCTCCAGGTACCAGTTCACATGCTCCGTACTTTACAGGAGACTGCCCTTGATTCCTTGTATAGTCTCTACCTGAGAAAGTGAAACAACATAAGCGCCCAGTCATTAGGCTTGGCAGCAACATTTGAGGTACTCCAAATGGACATCAGGTGGCGCCAGGGTGGCTTGGCAAAAGGGGAGCTGCCTCACTCCTGGGGTAGGTAAGGACTTCCTCCTATGAAATTAGACCTGAATCTAAAATGTCAACTCTAAAGGCTGAAACTCTTTGAGTTTATCTCTATTTTAACTCATCAAAATGATTCTTAGCTATAGAAAGATGACACATATCCTCCGTAGGTTCAGGGAGATTAACTAGCTTGCCCGCTCTCAGTGAGTGATTCAAGATGGTGGCCATTCTTATTCTGTGCTCCCTGAGTAAGAGGAGTATTTCCTAAAGACTTTACTAAGCAAAGAAGATCTAGAAATAAAAATCATTTGAATTGGTTTTTGCCATTCATTTTATTTTGGGTCAGGCAACATCTAGTTTTGTTTATTACATAATCTTTTAATGCATAGGTTTGACATTTCAGTTATTCAATTCAACAGAGTACATTCAATTCAAATAAATAGACTGAGCACCTTCTTTTTAAAAAAAATTTAAATTTTATATTGGAGTATAGATGATTAACAATGTTGTGATAGTTTCAGGTGCACAGCAAAGCAACTCAGCCATACATATAGATGTGTCCATTCTCCCCCAAACTCTCCTCCCATCCAGGCTGCCACATAACATTGAGCAGAGTTCCCTGTGCTGTACAGTAGGTCCTCGTTGGTTATCCATTTTAAATATAGCAGTGTGTACATGTCAGACTCAAACTCCCTAACTATCCCTTCCCCCCTGGTAACCATAAGCTTGTTCTCTAAGTCATTTATACAATGGAATATTACTCAGCCATTAAAAAGAATGAAATAATGCCATTTGCAGCAACATGGATGGACCTAGAGATTGTCATACTGAGTGAAGTAAGTCAGAAAGAGAAAGAGAAATATCGTATGCTATCGCTTATATGTGGAATCTAAAAAAAAATGATACAAATGAACTTATTTATAAAACAGGAACAGACACAGACTTTGAGCACCTTCTTTGTTCAGGGCATTGGTCTAGGTGGAGGGTTGGAGAAATGAATAAGGTATGTTGCATTCATTAATTCACTTTTGTCCATAAGTTTAAAAAGCATTTAAAGTTTAACATACCTATAATACAAAGTTTAGAAAATAACGTTTATAATTTTACTAACCAGAGGTCACCACTGCTAGTATTTTATTGTGTTTTCTTCCAGTCTTCTTTTCTAAACATATATCTTATATGTGACATATTCATATATGTATGTGTATATAAGTAATTTATATTTAAACATAGTTGAGATTTATTCATCCAACAAGCTTTTTTGCACTTACTGTATGTCAGGACATGTAGAGACTGTGAAAGGACACATTCTTTGCTCCTAAGGATGTCATAGTTTGATAGGGATATTGATTATTATTCAGTATGATAAGTGAAGTAGCATCTTGACTTAAGGAGACTAACTCTATCCCTCCCTTGTTAGGGGACCTGATCTGGGAAAGTTTCAGTGAGCAATTGTCTTTGCATCTGAGTTGAGTAGAGTAGAACATTCCCAATAGAAGAGGTAGCATATGACATATCACCCATGGACTATATTGTATAATGTGTTTGGGGCATTCCGTGTGGTATCTTATTACTGAAGAGGAAGGGTGGTGGGACATGAGGCTGGGAAGGCCATGGAGCAGGGGCAGATCATGCTATGCTAGGAGTTTGGACTTGGTTCTTTGGCATTGGGCAGCTTTTGAAGAATTTTAAACAGAAGGTTTTTGTTGTTTTTTTATTTTTTTTATTTTTTGCGGTACGCGGGCCTCTCACTGTTGCGGCCCCTCCCGTTGCGGAGCACAGGCTCCGGACGCGCAGGCTCAGCGGCCACGGCTCAAGAGCCCAGCCGCTCCGCGGCATGTGGGATCCTCCCGAACCGGGGCACGAACCTGCGTCCCCTGCATCGGCAGGCGGACTCTCAACCACTGTGCCACCAGGGAAACCCTGTTATTTTATTTTTTAAAGAGAGCTCTTTTTGATTGTATTGAGAAGGTAAGGGTTCAATGGAAAGACTGACTACTTAGACAATTATTATATATGTTGTTTATTCAGGATATCTTGTTAATTCTTATAATAACATTTTATCATGCTGTCTTCCCACAACAGTGCTGCATGTTTAAGATAAGTACAGCAAGACTTATTATTTGCCATTACCTAGTAAGTTAAGGCAATTGTCTAGAATTCTGTACGTAGTGAGGCAAAGGCAGGTTTAGAATACAGATTTCTTGATCCTTAGGTTTCTGTTATTGTTGCTTTTACCCAGACTTTTCATGCAGGACCCATTTCCTTGGCACAAGTGATGTAGGTAGACACAACAATAGTTGTACCTTTTCCAAAGACTTCCAATAAATGAGGTTTTTTTTATTGTCTCAATGTGATCTTTGTACCAGAAGAGTCCTTGGAACCATATTTCATTCAAAGGAAGAATGAATTTGGAATGAAATTTTCCAAGGACACTATCAACTCCTTATTACTTCCAAATTAGTATTCCAGTGCTCTTAAGTGAATTCAGCTGCATCTAATTTTTTCAACAGAGAAAAACAACGTTGAGCTGAGTGAGAGGAATCGGAGAGAGTAGCAGTTGCACAGAATCTCTGGGGTGATGAGGTCACACTAGAGCTTTAGTATTCCAATTTTATCAGGGCTTATTTGAAACTGAAAATTATAATACAGACAAGGTGCCTTTAATTACTTTTCTCAGTTTCATCTGCAGCATGGGAACAATGCTTCTGATGTGAAGATAATGACAATAAAAGACATTTTGAAAGAAGTGGTTTATGAAAGGTTATCCAGTGACTTTGGAAGCAATGATCCAGCCTCAGTCTTAGTTTCCTAATCTGTAAAATGAAGTAGCAATGCCCACCTTACAGGACTGTTGTGAGAATTCACTAAGGTGACATTTTAAAGTAGCCATTATGGTGCCTTAGACTTAGCAAGTGCATATGCCCAGCCAATCTGTGTTCCCCTACATTGGGTTGATGGGACCAGATTCTGGTTCTTTTATTTCTCTATTTCTCTGTCTTGTAAGGATGCTGTGATGTAAGTCACTTAAGGACTCTTTAAATACAAGCTTTTCTAAATTGCAACTTCTGTCTAGGCCTTTTTATGGTGGGGGCAGAGTGGGGGAAGATTTGTAGAATCCATCTCTTACTTTTCTAATTAAAATCAATCTTCAGACATTGCCATATGCTGAGTTGGCTTCAGAATTTGTTTCATTTAGAAAGGAGATATTCTGTTTGGAGAGAGGATGTTTCTTTAATTACCCACATTGAAGTTTCTTCTGAATACTTTGAAGAGCTCTGTGACATGAGTTCTCATTTTAATAATTCTTTGGACATAGATTTTGGCAAGCAATAATCAACTTGGCTTGAAGGACTGTGTGAATTCTACATGGCCTTCTTAAACCTTGGCATACTAACTTCATGTTGCAGAGTTACTGGAAACGAAGATATCAGAGGAATGACATCTTTACCATTTAAAACTATTTCAGATGTTGCCCTTTCTCGCCGTGGATGTTCGTGGTGGGTGTGACAGGATGTGGTACCTGATATTGCAGGAATGTCAAGGTGTTACTGCATCTAAAAACATATCACCAAATGGTGTTTATCAACTCACTCAATCTGAGACTCCTTGAACAGTCATAGGTACTTCACAGAGCAAAGTCACAGTATTGACCTTCAAAGAACTTATGGGCAGGAGACATACTGCCCATATGTTTACTTTAGCTGTGTTTTTTTTTTTTCGGGGATGGGGTAGGTGAGACTGTTGTTTTGTTGTTGTTTGAAGGATGAACGGGGATAGGGAACTGGGCTACATAGATCTGTGTGGTATGGTACAGGGAATGCATTGTTGACCTGTATTAAGTTGGGCTGAAAGAATGGATATTGAGAATGGGGCAGCAGGACAGATTGTTCTGGCCTAGGGTGTGTCCTGGGAGAAGGCCAAGAGAGCTGAGGCTGGAGAAATGGATGAAGGTAGGTGTGGGGCAGTAACAGATGAGCAGAAGACTTCCCAATGGAGGTTTCACCATGGGGAGTGAGGCATGCTGACTTGTTTCAAGGAATGATAGTCATTGACAGAGACGGTTGGATCCAGGGAGAAAAGCAGGACATGGTTGTAGCTTTTTGAGCTCTGAAGCTGAGGTCCAGAAGAGGGGTGGTCTACAGTCTACCTGAAAGAGTTTAGCCTCTGTCTGAGATATAGCCATGCAGACATAGAGAACAGAGACATATATGGAAATTGGTTAAAGAAATGCTGAAGTTTTGCTAAAGACTAAGTGTCAGGAAGGTTATAATATTAGTGATGTGATAGTACTGAGCATTTATTTTTGAATTTTTTGGCGGGATCTGTAGGATTTAGGGAAGAAAAAAGTGAACGCGGGAAAATCTTGCATATGACAGTGACCTATAGGTAACGGGAGATGGAGAAATACACTAAGGAATGGAGATTACTGTTCACACCGAACACTGGAGGCCAGGAGTCAACGATGCTATGACTGTAGAGAGCATGTGACCCTAGAGAAGACAGGGAAGAGAATTTTGTGACATGTGTAGGAGACACCCTACTTCTTAATTTTCATTGTAGTTTTGTAAACCACTCTAGGCAAACCCCTTTGGGACATGGATGGCACCGCTGTGATATTTTGGCCAGATGGCTGAAATCAATTAAATCAGTTGCAAAAATCAGGAGCTCATTGAGGGGCATGTTTCCTATTTATCAACCTGGCTCTGCCAAGCATCAAGTCAACACTGATTAGCAATGTCCCACACCTGGGAGGGAGAGCCCAGCGCTGCCTGATTTCTGCCGAGGGCTCTGGCTTTTCTCTCTTTCTGATAACAGGATGGCAGATCTTGAAGCTCCGCAGCACTGGCCCTGCTCCTCGTCCCGTGGTGGCCCCTCTCTCCTCCCTGGGATCCTGAGGGCGTTGGGAACTGGTGACCCTTTTGTGGGGTTTGGCAGCCCATCTGAGGCTTTCGCTTCAGGGACAGAGCAGGTGGGGTTCTTGCGAAGACTTTTCTCCAGGAATGTGAAGACCTTTCCGGTCTGGAAGCCTGTCAAGGCGTGCTCCTGGGGGAGGAGCCCTGCAGGACATCACGAGGAGGGCTCTTTAGCGATTAGATGTAGAATTTTGTGGAACGGAGAGAACTTTAAAAGTGATCATTTGGTATGCAGGTGGTTTTTAAACAGGCAAACGTTTTTGGCCGGTCTCTGGGATCCTATATTCTATTTAAAATTCTTCTATTTGCCTATTTCGGTGGAGACAAGTAGATTAAATAAATGCTTGCCACCTGTAATAAGTGCTTGTCTCAGGATGGCATATAAAAGACATTGAATACATTTTCATTGAAATGAACTTGCTGACTGGCTGAAAGAATGAATAAAATAAAGTGCTATATACCCAGACCCCACAGTAAAAAGCCAGACTCTCCCCTTCACAGCTCTGTTTACTTTTTCCCTCCCCTCCCATCCCCTTCAATTCCTTCACAATCTATGGGACCTCCTTATCTTATAGAATTTCTCTAGACTTAGAACCAGGATTCCTCCTATCTGGCGTTTATTGTGGGCAATCAATGCCAGGAACTCTGAAAGCTTTGCTTTTTAAAACAGAATCTGTCTCCTTCCTTAAGTACCTTTCTTTCTCTAGTTGAACTTTATTTGGACTAAAGTAAAACTGAAGTTATTGAATCTCCATTAATCGATGATGTACTGAATAGCATATACTCTGTATAGACATGATACAGGACAGCCTTTGTTTACATTTGGCAGAAGTTATGGCTTCCGAGCTTTGGGAAATTCTAGAAAACATCCCTTGCCTTTTGCTTTTGGAAAAGTCAGGCTTTCCGGATGAAGCAATCAACAACGACAACAGTAACAAATATATGAGCACTGCCCCCTGCCCCCCATCATTAAGTTTCTGAACTTAAAGAAAGAAAGAAAAGCAAAAACTCAAGCCAAGCAAGGTGACCTTTTCTGTGTTGGAGATCTAAAAGAAAGTTTGGATAGTATTTTGGGTTTTTTCTGGAAAAGCATTTTAACACCTGAATTTCTTTGTCTTGTAAGCAAACCCTCAAAACTGTACTTTGAAATTAAACATAGGAAAGAAGAATCAACACTAGAAAAGAGCTTGACCACCATATGGGGAAGGACCCAGGACAGAACAAAATGCAGACCCATGCCTCTTGTTTGCTGTTTCATTTAGTAAAATGTGATGTGCTTCTCTCTGCCTGATTTTGTCTGTCTAGCAAAATGGGGAAACTGTGCTACTTATCAGTAAATAACGTTTCTAGTAGCCACATTATTTAGGAAGTGGTGGTATTATAAATACCTCCCCTGCTGCCTGCTAAATTGTAAAAGGAGTGGGATTTAGTGAGAGAGGTGTTCTCAGAGACCTTAATATAACATCTTTTTTAAGATACTCAAGCACCATTAACTGATCATTTGGGTGGGAGGAGATAGCTGCATGTAGGTAAAGGCAAAAATGTGTCTTGTTGGGGCTTCCCTGGTGGCGCAGTGGTTGGGGGTCCGCCTGCCGATGCAGGGGACACAGGTTCGTGCCCCGGTCCGGGAAGATCCCACATGCCGTAGAGCGGCTGGGCCCGTGAGCCATGGCCGTTGAGCCTGCGCGTCCGGAGCCTGTGCTCCGCAGCGGGAGAGGCCACAACAGTGAGAGGCCCGTGTACCGCAAAAAAAAAAAAAAAAAATGTGTCTTGTTGAAAATACGAGAGTAAGTTGAACTTTAATGAGTGATTCTATAAGGACCTGGGTGCTGAGTCTGTGGCTAACTCAGGCTCCTGGCCTCTCTTTCTGGTCTGCTTTGGCTTCTGCAGTGTTTATTAATGTTCACAGGCAGCCTCTGCAACGCCTCCCCACCGCAGCCCTTAAGGTGTTGGGCCCACACCCTCCTTTCTGGCCTCCACTACCTCCTCCAGCAGTTCTCCTAGAATCCCAGCCGTGGCTGCTTCCCTGACCTAAGCTCTGAGACTGTCCTGGGCAGTGGCTGCGTCCTTTGTTCCTTGGCCTCTTTGCGCCAAGCATACTGTCGAGTGCTTAATAGGCACCTGGCTGTTTGAAGTAATGTACAAATGAATTAATGAACTGAGTTTACAAACATGTAAGCAGCTAACCAGGCAAAACGAGGTGAGTGCTAACTTGAAACACTAAGATACTGTGGAGGGTAAGAGAACAGCAATAAATCTACAGGGAATTACAAAACCCCTCAGAGGGGCAGCATTAGAAGGTCAGGAGTGTTTCCAGGCACAGGAAAATGTGAGCAAATGTGCAGAAGCATCAAAGTACATGGGGCAAATGGGCAATATTAAATAATCTGGTGGAGATGCAGGGGATCTGAGCCTGAGAAGAGAGTTTGCAGCTTATAAATCACCTGAGATGGCCAGCCAAGGAGCGGTTGGGACAGCCTGGTGGTGCAGGGCAGGGACCCTGGCCGTCCTGCCACCGCATACTAGTAGCCTGACCTTAGGCAGATCTCTAAGCCCCTATGTCTTTGTTTCCTCATCTGAGAAATGAGGGTAGGGTAACTCTGGTGCTGGTGTCAAAAGGTAGATGGGGGCTTCCCTCGTGGTGCAGTGGTTAAGAATCTGCCTACCAATGCAGGGGACATGGGTTCGAGCCCTGGTCCAGGAAGATCCCACATGCCGCGGAGCAACTAAGCCCGTGCACCACAACTACTGAGCCCTCGGGGCACAACTAATTAAGCCCATGTGCCTAGAGCCCATGCTCTGCACTCAACAAGAGAAGCCACCGCAATGAGAAGCCCGCACACTACAACAAAGAGTAGCCCCCACTCGCCGCAACTAGAGAAAGCCTGTGCGGAGCAGCGAAGACCCAACACAGCCAAAAATAAATAAATAAAATAAATTTATATATTAAAAAAAAGGTGGATGGAAGAGAATAGAGAGTAAGGCTTTGGGAACAGTAAGGAGGCCTTTTGATCAGCCAGTGCCTCATACCACCCCTGCCCATAATGGACATTCAATAAATAAGTGAATGAGTGAATGAATGAATGAATGAATGATCCAGATGAGTGCCCAGGGCAGAAAACTAGGGCAGTGGCTGTGGGAATGTACAAGTTAATTTTGCTACTTGCTCTCAGCTCTGAAAGAAGTTTGGATGAAAGAAGTTTGAAACCTTAAAAAATAGTTTTATTTTTTTAACCAGTGTTTGTTTTTACCTATGCATATTTTAACTATTAATCTAAATTGATAAAAGATGATTATAATAATATAGCTGATGTAATTATGTTTATAATTTGGAGAGGAAATTTAAAAGAATATTATGTGTAAAAACAATTTAGAGAAATCCTGAGAAGGGGGACAACCCTTTGCATTTTATAATGCTTTGGGGTTTCTTTGTTGTTTTTTTGTTTGTTTTATTAAGAATATTTTCTTTTTTTTTTTTCACAGCTGAATACTTTCCAAGCAGTTTTGACATCTGATAAGTCTGACACCTACGCCCTCTTTCTTTATCCTGCCAATGGCCTTCAGTTCTTTGGAACCCGCCCCAAAGAATCTTACAATGTCCAGCTCGAGCTTCCAGCCCGGGTGGGCTTCTGCAGAGGGGAGGTCGGTGACCTGAAGAGAGAGGGACCATATTTCAGCTTGACTAGCACTGAACAGTCTGTGAAAAATCTCTACCAGTAAGTAACATGGGGCTTATGCCCTTTCTTGTTGGAATGTAAAGACCCTTAGGAGCTACCTAAACTCGAGTGGCCCTACTCATTAAATATCATCTCCGTGGTTTCTAAGCAAGGGACCAGATCAAAACCAGGAAATAGGCTAGACCCTGGGAGGAGCACATTGACCAAAATATAAAGTCTTTTATTTTTCCTGCCCTATTGGCTGTAGATACTGGAAACAGAACTCTGTGTGTGTGTGTGTGTGTGTGTGTGTGTGTGTGTGTGTGTGTGTGTGAGAGAGAGAGAGAGAGAGCACAGCCAGTGAGGCTTGCTATGGAAATCATTGCCCTTGGAACCACATAAAAATACCCAGTAATACAACTGCCCAGGCTGAGGTTTTTCCAGGTTAATCGTTTCACAGCCGGAGACGTTGTGAGTTAGTCTTTTGGACAGATAGGTGTTAAAAGTTAAGAGTAGTGTAATTTGGGGAAAAAAAAGGAAAACCAAACAGATTGGTAGATTTTTGGAAGTCTCAGGATTTCTCAGTGGCTTCATTATCTGAAATTGTCCTGAGGGTTTTCCATGCAATGCCTGGGACCAAGCACATTCCTTAGTCCCATCACACAAGCTCACTCTGCTAGTCCACATCATGCCCAGTATCTGGGTTAGCACCTGTTGATATTTAATAATTTCCAGGCTCTAAAAAAAATCTCTGCTTTTATCCCTTCCCTGAATACTGGTCTAGAAGGCAGACAGAGAATACTTTGGTTACCTGGCCTCCCTTGACGCCTCTAAGTTTCGTTACATGATTCCTGGGTATTGGAACATCTTACACTTTTGCATGCCATCTGCTTTACTCAGAGACCAGAGAGCGGGCCCTACAACCAAATAGGGTTACTGAGAGCTGACATTTATTGAGAGCTTACTGTATGCCAACATTGTGCTACACACTTTCCAGAAGTTCTCTTAATTAAAACTCAGGGGGTGAGTTCTTCTCTTTTCTCAATGTGACACATGAGCTTAGGGAAGTTAAATTGCCTATAATCTCAAAGTTATGAAGTGGCAAAGCCAAAATTCAACCACAAGTCTGGAGCTCTGAACTACTTATTTTATGCTGAATCCTGGCCTGCTTTCCCCTTCTCATGACTCATGTCGGACATCTTTTTTTTTTGGCGGTACACGGGCCTCTCACTGTTGTGGCCTCTCCCGTTGCGAAGCACAGGCTCCGGACGCGCAGGCTCAGCGGCCATGGCTCACGGGCCCAGCCGCTCCGCGGCATGTGGGATTTTCCCGGACCAGGGCACGAACCCATGTCCCCTGCATCGGCAGGCGGACTCTCAACCACTGCGCCACCAGGGAAGCCATGTCGGACATCTTTTGAGCTCCACCAAGGTGGCCTTTTAGTCTTGACTCTGGAGAAAACTTTAGATCCTTGTTCTCTCTCCCCTGGTTCCACCCTCCTCTTCTACTCTGGAGCCCATAGGTTCTCTGCCTCTCAGACATTATCGAGAGCTCACCATGGGTCAAGACCTGGAAAGAGAAAGATGTCTAAGGCCCAGGCCCTGCACGCAAGCAACCTGCACTCTCCTAGAGTAGACGGACAAACAACAGTTCCAGAGCATGGGAGTAAGTGCTAACACCTCCTCAGGGTACAGGAGGCAGTGAGGGCCGAAAAACCGGAGGGAAAAAGCAGACGTGTTCCCCCCACCATAGCCGTAATGGCCTCTAAGAACTCACACAGACACACGCACGCACACACGTACACACATACACCACTTCCATTTACCTCCCTCCATGCCTACCTCATCTATATCTTTCATGCTTCATAGAAACCTCTGAGTTGCTTGATTGAAAGTGGAAGATATGGGGCCAAAATGACCGTCAGAGGAATTTTTCTTTAGTAGAATCTGTATTTAGTATAAAAACTAAAATAGGGCTTCCCTGGTGGTGCAGTGGTTGAGAGTCCGCCTGCCGATGCAGGGGACACGGGTTCGTGCCCTGGTCCGGGAAGATCCCACATGCCACGGAGCCGCTGAGCCTGCGCGTCTGGAGCCTGTGCTCCGCAGCAGGAGAGGCCACAACAGTGAGAGGCCCGCGTACCACAAAAAAACAAACAAACAAAAACAAACAAACAAACAAATGAAAATAAAGTACAAACAATGCCGAGGAATGTGAAATAAAAGTAAAAATTACCCATTCTCACTACTTCAAGTGATAACCATTATTAACAGTCATTCCAGAATTTTAGGTTTATGCAAAACCTTTCTCAAAACCAAAATGGTTCTTTTGTTATACATATGGCATCTTCCCATTTACTGTCTATGGGTGTCTTTCAGTAAGATATCTGTTATATTATTATTTGAACGCTATAAAACATGGCATCATATATAGCCTGTATTATTAAGACAATAACTTATTGATGAACATTTAACTTATTTCTGTTTTTTCCTTTTATAATTATTGTTTCAGTAAACAAAATAGTACACATTGCTCAGATGCTCATTTGTCTTAAAGATAAATTCTTGAAAGTAGAATTGCTGAGAAAGGATATATGCAGTGTAACATTTTAATGTGTGCTAACCAACTGCCCTTCAGAAACCCTGCATCAACTTACGTTCTCACCAGTAAGGAGGGCTGTGATCAACAGTGTCTGTTTCCTACAAGCTTCTAATCTTTCTAGTATTTGTGAATCTGATAGGTGTAAAATGTTCATATTTTCGCTCTAGTTTCTTTGATTACTAGTAAAACTGAACACCTTTTCATATGGTTAATAGCCATTTCTTTGCTATTTTCTATTGAGGTGTTTACAAAGACCTTTAACAAATAAGAAAAACCTAGTAAAGATATTTCCTCTCAAATGCTGTGAATGTTTTTATCCAGTTGTTCATCTTTAAAGTTAGTTGTGATCTAGAAGGTATAAGTTTAGGGTTGTCAAAGTTATTGGCCTTTTCCTTTATGATTTCAGGTCTTGGTATTATTCTTAGAAAGGCCTTCTCTACCTCCAAATCATAGAAATGTTCCTCAATTTAATCTTCTATTTTACATTTATTTATTTATTTATTATTTATTTATCTGGTGTGTGTGTGTGCTTTATTGAATTATAGTTGATTTACAATGTTGTATTAGTTTCAGGTGTACAGCAAGGTGATTCAGATATATATATATGTTTTCAAATTCTTTGCCATTATAGGGTATTACAAGATACTGAATATAGTTCCCTGTGCCATTCAGTAGGTCCTTATTGGTTATCTATTTTATATATAGTAGTGTGTATATGTTAATCTCAAACTCCTAATTTATCCCTCCCCGCCTTTCTCCTTTGGTAACCATAAGTTTGTTTTCTATGTCTGTGGGTCTGTTTCTGTTTTGTGAATAAGTTTAGTTGTATTTTTTTTTTTAAGATTCCATATATAAGTGATATCATTTGATATTTGTCTTTCTCTGCCTGGCTTACTTCACTTAGTATGATAATCTCTAGGTCCTTCCATGTTGCTGCAAATGGCATTATTTCATTCTTTTTTATGGTTGAGTAGTATTCCATTGTATATATGTACCACATCTTCTTTATCCGTTCATCTGTCAATGGACATGTATGTTGGTTCCATGTCTTGGCTATTGTAAATAGTGTTGCAATGAACATTGGGGTGCATGTATCTTTTTGAATTATAGTTTTCTCTGAGTATATGCCCAGGAGTGAGTGGGATTGCAGGATCATATGGTAGCTCTATTTTTAGTTTTTTAAGGAACCTCCATACTGTTTTCCATAGTGGCTGTTATCAATTTACATTCCCACCAACAATATAGGAGGGTTCCTTTTTCTCCACACCCTCTCTAGCATTCATTAGTTAAAATTTCAAAAATATGCAGAAAAGTGGAGGGAGTCATCTAGATTTACAAGCTGTTGACATTTTGCCATCTTCATCATTTTTTCTTTTTTGCATAAGTAATTTAAAGTAAGTGACACACAGCATGCCATTCACTCCTCAATGCTTCAGTATGCATCTCTAAAAAATAAAGTTATTCTCCTAGTCAATGGAATTGTTGTCTTCCTCAAACTTGTCTCATAATTATAAGCTCAGAGGTCATAAATTATAAATTCATAGTGTGTTTGTCATAACTCTTCTTCTGCACATTTAAATATGAATGTACACATTTGTATTTTTTGAGATTATACTTTTCTATGTCCTGGAAGACAGTAGTTACTAAGTACTTATTACATTCAGGGCCCCATGCTGAACATTTTATGTGATTTTCTAACTTAATCCTCCTAACAACCCAGGGAGGAAGGCACTGTCATCTCATTTTGTAGCCTTGTTTTCCTTTCTAGGAAATAAATTAAGTTCTTTCTGTCACTAAGCTTTCCAAATGACCTTGGATTTTAGGATAAACTCAAACTGGCTACTTTCTCATCATGCCCAATGACAAAAGCTAGGGTAGTGATTTATATTTAATTAGAAGATCATTTTATTTAGCTTTTATCTGTCATAATTTGTATTTTCCTACTCTTTTAAGCTTTTATAGTTTTCTGTTTCTGACTTCAAGAAGAAATTTCACAGCTGCAACACCTCTGATGTGATAATAAACTCAGCATCCTCAGATCTTCAGAATTCTCTCTTATCTTCTTTAGGGTTCCTTGCTTGCTTGCCAAAAAGCACTGGCATTAATTCTTAGAACCTACCAAGTCTACATAGCATACCGCACAAAGGATCACAGTTTTGCTTTCTACGCTCCTGTTTCCCTGAACTAATTACAACAACAGCAGTGGCAACAACAACAATACGCAAGGGGGTGGGGATTGATTGATTCTTGGAATTGTGTTAAAAATATTATTGCTATAGAGATCCACATGAATATGATGAGTACCAACCCAAATGAGCAAAAGTCTCTTGCCCTTATATGACTCAATGAATTTCCTGTTGTCTTATTAGTCATTAACTGATTTCTCATGGACTGACTTTTGAGGAAATCCCACAGCATGAGAGACTTAGAGCCTGGTGTTTGGGCCATATGCCAGAGAGTACAGAGATGGGTGTATTCAAGCCAGCCAGACCCTTTGTTCCTTCAGGTTTTTTCTTATTTTTTTGAAATTGTGTATGGGGTTATCCTCTTTGGAATGTATCACTGACTAAAATAATGGATCGCTGGGATATTTGGAAGGCTGAATGGAGCCCGTATTCTTTTCTAGTGGGGGAAACGCGTGAGCTCCCTGGCTTCGGATGTTTCTGGATACCTCTCACCTGTGACCCGTGGCAGTTTGATTAACTTGCTTTCTTATTTTCCCCTTAATTTTGTTCTACATTGGCTCAACATTTTTGAGACTTAGGCATCTCTGTTCCTTTGAATTTTTTGACATGGGTTCACCAGTCTCTGTGAATTAGTTGATTGATTAATCCACATGACTAAACCGCAAAATGTCTCTAACATTCTGTAATGTGGAGTAAGATAATTAGGATGTGCACTGACTAGTGTGTTAGTTTTCTGATGTAATGTGGATGTTCAGAACACGGGCTTTGGTGGTAGTGCTGAGTTCAAGTCCAAGCTCTGTCAGTTATTAATTGTGCAACCTTAAGACGATTAATCTCTCTAAACCTGTTTTCTCCTCTGAAAAATCGGTCATGATCACTGCCCCTACCTTGCAAGTTGTGTTGAAGAATGTTTAACACTTGGCATGTAACTAACTCTCAAATAAAAAATATTGTTTAAGGGTTTGGCAAAAATGTTTAAGCATATGTTTTCTTGAGTTTGTTAAAAGTAGAGGAAGGATAGGGCTTCCCTGGTGGCGCAGTGGTTGAGAGTCCACCTGCCGATGCAGGGGACATGGGTTCGTGCCCGGGTCTGGGAAGATCCCACATGCTGCGGAGCGGCTGGGCCCGTGAGCCGTGGCCGCTGAGCCTGCGTGTCCGGAGGCTGTGCTCCACAACGGGAGAGGCCCGCATACCGAAAAAACAAAATAAATTTAAAAACATAAAAGTAGAGGAAGGATAAAATATTCCCACATTCCCTATTTGTTTTCAGATAGCCATTGAGATAAAACATGTAGAGCAGAATCCTGATTTGAGGGTCTGGCATTCGGTAGACACATGGCCTTTGAAACCCATTGTTAAATAAGAGGTAGTTTACATCAAAATTCCAGTATGATCTTTAGTTACCGTGTAAGTCTGGTTTTATTTGGGTTTCCTGCCAGTGAAAACTCTGAATCTGATCTTAATAGTCCTTCAGTTTTAAATTAAATCGCTCGCCTTTGTGGGAAGGTGGTGGATGGACACTTTTGTGACAAAGTCCTGTTTCCGTTTTATTTAGACACAGCAACCTGGGGATTCCTGGAGTGTGGGCTTTTCATATCGGCAGCACCTCCCCATTGGATAATGTCAGGCCAGCGACAGTTGGAGGAGACCTTTCCAAAGCCCACCCTCCGGCTCCCCTGGGACATTCCTTCAGCCGCGCTGCGGCCCTGGAGGGTGACTACACTGAGGACAACTTGGATTATTATGGTGAGAATGAGGAGGACGTCGAATACCCCTCCCCTGCTGAGCCAGAGGAAGCATCGAATGGCCACAGCACAGTCGATGTTTCCTTCCACTCGAAAGCTGATTCGAGGCCGTTAGGAGGTGGGATCTCTCCGCCAGATTCTGACCTGGCCTCCCCTTTGCCACGTCCAACATCTAGGGATGGGCCTGAAACAGACTCTGCCACCTTGAACCCTCAAACCAAAGAGGGGAGAACTCAGGGGGAGATAGATGCCCCGGATTTAAAAGGCCGAGTTGAGTCTTCTGAACAGCCAGGGACCACAGTCCCTGCTCCACCAGAGACTGGAGATTCACTGGATCCTTCCCAGCAAGCCCCGCCTCCCTACCCAGATGGACGGGCACAGCCTGCAGACAGGGATGTTCCTCCAGCCCATCCAGGAGGAGAGGCCGTTCTTCCAAATTACCCCGGGCCGGATCACACTCCACCCCTGGGTCGCAGGAGGCAAGTGGTCGGAGTGGAGGACGACATCAGTTCCAACACCGAGGGTAAGTGGGTTTGAACACTGGGTACTAAAGAATTCATTGAAAAAATGCTGATCTTCCAGAGAGTCGTGAATTTTCTCTCAAGCGAGTTGAGGAAGAGTTTTGCAAAAAGAGGCTTGGGACTGATTTCTAAAACCCATTGTTTCAGGAGATGGAGTATCTTTCCTTTGCCAAAGAAATCTTGGCAGGCAAATTCTTTTTGGAATCTCTTGACCATTACTAATGTTTTATTTATTTATTTATTTATTTTTAAAATGGGCCTCATGAATCCTGTGGGGAAGAACTGGGGTTGCTCGTGCCAGCTGTGCTCTCACGTGGAATGAAGTTATTTCAGTTTGAAAGTTCAGCAAAGGTAAAGTGTTTTGAGGCTTCGCACACATTACGGTACTGGAGGGCTTCAGGCTTTAGTTTCAAGCAGCGAGCTGTGCTGGCTTGGATGAACATTCCGGCTTCTTCCTCTGTGATGGGATGACCCCGGTGCTCCCCTTGCTTAGAGACACGGCGGTGGGCTGTGGGAGAGGCGACCCCTGGGGAGAGAAAACTGCGAACCACCTGTGTCTTGTCATTTCTGGTTCGCGGCTGTGCAGCTGTGCTAGTCAGCTCCCCGGAGCCTTGCCCTCATTTCATGACTCACTGACCAGAGCGAGGGGCCAGCAGAGAGCTGCCCAGGGGAGGTGACGGTTAATTAATACAGACACGGAGCCCATGTCAGCTTCTACTGAAGGCGAGACTTGTCATGTCAGCTCTTTCTTCCCAGTCAGGAATGTAAACACCTGAATGGGAAACTGGCCACGGATTCATCCCATTTGTTCCAGGGACTGCGCATCTGACCTCTGACAGGAGGAGAGAGGTCAGAGGTGAAAGCATTCTTTAGGACCTTTGTTTTTTTTTTTCCTTCACCTTTTCTGTTTCCCGTACTTTTTATGGTAAAACAGGTTGACCTAGCAGAGGGTCTTCCAGGTGGCTCTGCTGTGGTCCTGATCTGCAAGAATTTGCTTGAAGAAGCCCTTCTTTCAGGAGAGGTGAAACTGTTCTGTAACTGAGGCAGCATCGTGTAAAGATTAGAGGGAGAACGTTGGTGTAGGTTTGAATCCTGGCCGTCACGCTGTCCGGGTGACACTTTATGCTAGTAGCGCCCAAGCCTCCAGTTTCTCCTAAATTTGTCGAGAGGATTAAAAGAGATCACGAAGTTCTTAGGCTAGCGTCTGTACTAGTTGGATCTTAATAAATGGTGGCTGCTGTTACTAATTATAGAGGATTTAAAGCAGTGGGAATGGGGGTGGGGTAGTAGAGAATGAAGAGCGGGCTTGTTAAAAGCTTGTGCCTTAATTTGTGCCTAAGGACCACATTTCTCTCAAGTTGAAGATGTGAAGTTTATTGGAAGGCTTCAGAGCCTTCACACCCTTCTGATAGTCTCCTGAATTTTCAGCATAAGTGCCGTCTATCTAAACAAAATGTAAAGCCAAGTATCAAAGACACTTTGATCAAAGAGATTTTTGAGGTAAAGATGTGCTCCTATGTGGTCTTTTCATTTGTGGGTTGTGATTTCCTGCTCTGGGAAGAGCTTGGAATATTAGAAAGCAGATCCCTGGGGTGAGTTGTTAAAGGGTTAAGAAGAAGGGACTGCACATCCTGCTTTGAACTGTGAGGGGCTGGATAAGCTCTAATAGCTGTAGGGGTCTAGGGAACTGGCCATAGAGAAAAACAGGCAGCAGCGAGAACCCTCGCGGGGCATGACCATGATACTTATCAGCTTCTGGATGACGTCTACCACTGACATCTTAGAAATGGCAAAACGCCTTCGAAACAGCTGGTTAATATGGTGAAACATTTAGGAAAATAAATCTAACTAGAAGTTTTTGAAACTCGAAGAAAAAAAAATAAACCACCATATTAGCAGGCAGGGAAAGCTTTAAAACTTGAAAGCAGAAAGGGAAAAATAGGTGAACCTCTGGTTTCACCTCAGGCTGTAGGAAGACTCGGTATCCATGGGGAATTCGTTCCAGGATCCCCCCGCAGATACCAAAATCTCTGGATGCTCAAGCCCCTTAGTCAGCCCTCCGTATCCACGGTTCTGCATCCTCAGGCCCCCCCACCTGCGGGTTCCCCTAACCGCAGATCCTTAACATTGCACAGGATCCGCCGTTCCTTGAATCCACGGAGATACCGGGGAGCTGACTGTATAGAACCATGCCATTGTTAATTACTTGGTTTTTCTTGGCAGTGAACTTTGTTTTTTCAAACAAAACGTTGGCATCCTAGAGGTCCATCAGGCAAAAGTGGACTCCCTCTGGGAAAGCCAGTGGGCGGGGTGGCAGAGACTCACACCAAAGAGCGCCTGCTAACTGTCCAGCCTCAAGCCATCTTGACCAGCTTTTCCTACTGATGCAGTGGAGGAGTGTGGATTTTGGTGTTTGATGGAGTTGAGCTTGATTCCCAGCTCTGCCGTGTGGTTTGGGATAAGACATTTTCTCTGTTTGACTCTCATTTTCTTCAGCTATAAAATGGAGATAACGTAGACCTCATCAAAGAGTCGCGAGAATTAAAATTGGGCATGGAAGCACCGTGCCCAATAAATTTTAGTTTCCCCTTGAAGCTTCATAGTAGTCAGCTTGGTAAACCAAGAAATTAAAATTTAAAGCCCTCCCCCAAATATCTCTCCCTTCTCTTTAAATTTTTTTTTCCCTCTTAGAGACTCTTTTTATAGACTTTTTATTGAGAAATCTAGATTCTTTTAAGATCATGTCCGCACCAGGCAAGAATGTCCCAATTTCACTCTAGTTCTAGCCTCGAGCGTATTATTTGCTTTGTTCTGTTTTCATAGACCACAGAACCGACAGTAAATTGGATGCACAAGCTTTCTCTGTCTCAGGGGTCTTACTTCTCCAAGCAGCTCTGGAAGCTTGTTGTCAAACCAAAAGTTACCTGAGCACCTACCATGTGCCCTTCTCTGACTGGGGCACGAGTGGAAGTTTTCACTGGTATTTATCAAATGTCCACTCAGACTCTGAGAGGAAACTTTGCTTGGATTGCACTAGCACAGTTGATCCTCAGAATTGCCCTGTGGGGTAGATACTATTATCCTTCTCACAGTACAAAGAAGGAAATTGAAGACTGAAAATACTGAGTGATTTGTCTGCGTAAGAGGCAGACCAGTACTGCAGCGAAGCCATGGAAGATTAGAGCAAGCTGCCAGGTAGCACAGCGCAGGGCAGATTCACCTGTGGTGCCATCAGGGAAGTCTTCATGGAGGAGGGGGGCTTGAGCCAGGCCGTGAGGTCGGAGTCTCAGTTTAGAGAGGGAGAAAGTGGGGCATATTCTGGACAGAGGAGTGACAGGAGTGGAGGTGGTGAGGTGGAAATGGAGAGGGAGTGAGGGAGTGAGGGAGTTGGGGGCGGGGGATGTGAGAGGCAGCTGCCATTGAGGCTCCAGATGCCTAGGACCAGAGACTGCCAGTGTTGTAGGCAGCAGGACAAGCTTGATTCACAGGGGTCGTAGAGATTTTTAAACCTGCCCAGGGGGTGCAAGGGGAAGCTTAATTTGACCTCAGTCTGCATGATGAATTAGAAAGGGGGAGGGACACCTGGCTTTCAGAGACCCCCATGTGTTCTCATTCCACCGTGGGATCCTGTTGATTCTACTTAGACGGCATTCACGCAGGGCAGGCCCAGGGTGTGAACAGGGATTTCCCTGTAGCTTCTGGTCCAACTCTACTTCTGGCCTTGGGAGAGGCCTCAGGAATGTGTTGCTCAAACAGCTTCTACCCTGGGATGAATTCGAACAGGCTCTGCTGCCCAGCCCAGCCTTCCAGGCACAAAAGCCCCTCTCCCAGGTGCACCCCCAGGTTGCTGAGGGACTGTGAACAAGAGGAACCCCATACCTGTGAAGACACCTGCACGGGAGAGCCTGCTAGTCTCACGATGGTGGATGTAACCCTCCCCCCGCAGAAAAACAGGGTCCTAATAACTGTTTGCCCAACGAGCTTCACTATGTACCACACACGTACCCCCCAAACAGACGAAAACTGGAGGGAAGAGCATACCACTGTTTTTCATTATACAGTTGGATGTGGTTTTTCTTATTTGTCTATCATTCTGTGAGGTGGGAAACCTAAGAAAAATCTGTCCTGCAGTGAAAATGTAGGTCCTTTTTCTTGAGGTGGCAGGAAGAGCTGTTAAAAGTAAAAGATAGCTCAGCTGCCAGGGGCAGCCCCGCGCAGGAAGCCCTCCGTCCCCGTTTGCATGATGAACCCGGTCTGCTCTGTGGAGCCTGCTGGCCTTCCACGGGCCAGGGCGGAAGACGAGTGCTTAAGTGTTTCTGGAGAAATGAAGACTGAAGGATGGGTCAGAACAAGTGCAGAGGAGTTTTCCATTTATGTGGAAAACTCCCAATTAGGACAAGTCTCAAGTACCCTGGCAGCACCTTTGCTTCTTTTCCCTTACATAGCCTCCTAACCCTACCCCATTTTTCTTTCTGTTTAAGGATAGGAGAAGAGTGAAAAGCATTAACTGGGAAAAAGAAATGAGATTTTAAAAATCCTCACGTGAAGTTTCCTTTAGCAACATTCTAACCTCAGTTAACAAAGCTGCTGCAAACTGAGCTCATTCAAACCTGGCCGGCCTCTGCCCTCCTGCTGGGCCCAAGCTGCCAGCAGACTTGTCCCTATCGTTTTTTGACTCTCTGCAACAGGAGCTGCGAGGCAGAGCGTGGGTCCCCGGAGGTCTGGAAGACAGGCTGCCCCAGTGGGTAAAATTCAGGAGAGAGGAATCTGTGGAATGCAAACTATATTTCTCAAAGTTTGGCTCTAGTCCACTTGTGGCTATTTCTCCCGTGGCCCTGGTTTAAAATGCTGATTCCACACCCTTCCTCCACCTTCTGACCCAGAATCTGCCTTTTTATTTATTTTTTAAATATTTATTTATTTAGGCTGCGCCGGGTCTTAGTTGGGGCACACGGGATCTTCAGTTGTGATAGGCGGGATCTTTTTTTCAGCTGCGGCACGC